TAATAGGTCAGGATTATTAAGCTATTTAAGAAAATTAGAAATATGATGTTGCAGTTGGATGTCTTAAATGTGTTTGATATTATAAAATTTGTGGATATAAAAAGGTACTAGAAGATATTGTATAACAAAGTTTGGCTTTAAGTTTGACAAGGCCAATATGTTGAAAAAAATTTTGTTGCAAGTAGATTGGTTGATTACAATATTTTGAAGTCAGTATTCAATAGTAGGAATAATTACTATATTAATAATATAATAAGTATATGAGTCAATAATACATTTGGTTTTAGTGATTTGGATTAGTTATGAGAATTTAAAGATAAGTAGTTTTGTTTGTTTAGATTATTTGTTGTCCAAAATGAACCAACAACCTAAAAATTTAAAAAGTATTTTAGAAGAGTGAAGAGGAAGAAGATGGTTATTATAAGAGACAAGTGTATAATAAGATAGAGGATTGTTAGTAACCAAAATAGATTTTGAAAGATTGATTTGAATATTGGCTATATTATAAAAGAATTCAGTTATAAATAATATGTGTGATAGTTCAGATTGTTATGAAGCAATCCAAAAAGTATTGTATATATAAGCCAAGATAGAGTAGTATTTTTGTAATGAGTTGGATGTTTGAAGTTTAAAGTTAGTAGTTCAAGAGGATTGTAATTTGTAACTAGGAGTGTTTAAATATATATAGAAGATAAGTGAATCATAGTAAATATGCTATAATAGTTTTACTTTGATTAATGCTATTGTGAACTGAATAGAATAAAGTTAAATCAAGATTAATTATAACTTAATTATGACAATTAGTAAAAAGGTTAAAGAGAATGTTAATAGTAAATAAAGAAAGTAGAAAGGCAAAAAAGTGCATGTTTAAAGAGAGTAAAGTTGACAGAGTCATATGCTTTATTTATATTTTGTAAAAATAACCAAATGTTCTTATAATTGCAAGAAGCATCTTCAATCAAATTGTTAAAAATATAAATAGAAATTGATGTACTGTTGTTGAAAAGGGCAACATAATTAAAAGGTAAAAAAATTAAATAAGTTGAAAATATGAAGCTAAGTCAATTAGTAAGAAATTTGATATAAAGCATATAAATATGTTCAACAAGACTAATAGGTCAAATAAGATTAAGATTATTATTAAAGGTATTTCATTTAAGAATAGGATAAATGTGACTATGTTTTCATTACTTAAAAATTCTGTTTTCAAGAAGGCAACAGTTAAAAAGAGCAGTAATAGCAGAAGTGCATTAAAAGCTAATATGTTTAAGCATTTTATAACTAATATCTGTAAGACTATAGGCTTTGTTATTAAGTAGTTAAGAAAAGTTTTTAAAAATTCATTATTAGTAATGAGGAAATTAAGAAAATGATACCAAATTGAATTAATATGAAAAAGTGAAAGATAGTATTGTTGCCAAAAATTATTAAAAAGAGTTTGATTAATAGGTCTATATGCAGTTCAGTTTTGAAAATAAGATTGAAAATATTGTTTAATAATTAGTAAATCAGTAATAAGCTCTTAAGAAAGTTTTATATTAGTAAAATAGACAGGTTGGTAGTAATAATTAATAATACTGTTGATAGCCTGAGTAGAATGTGTTATAAGATTAACACATCTTTTGTCAGAAGCTTGGTTAATTTGTTGTTAAAGTAAGAGAGAGTTTTTAAGATAACAAGCATAAAAGAGTTGTTTTTAGATTAAGTAAACATGTTGAAGCCAAGTTTGAATAAAGATTGAATTAGTAGAGATAAGTAATTGAAGTTATATTGTGACTGTTTGTTAATTTAGAAGATGATTTAATTAATGTAAGAAGTATTGGAATGTTAAGTAAGTTTTTTAACAAGTTTAATAATGTTGCTAAGTTTTTTTAAAAAATAAATATAGTAGGGTACTGTGAAGTGAGTATTGATAATTGTAGCTTTATTTGCAAGAAACTTTGTTAGAAATAGTATGATTAACAATATAAATAATAGAATATTGAATTTTGTACCAAGTGGTTTTAATACTCTTATGAGTTTTATTATTGATAGAAGTTTTGTATAATAGAAGTTATTAAGATAAGGTATCTGCAAAGAATTCTCAGTTCTTTGTAGATATAACTTTGTAGTTGAAAATACAATAGTTAATGTTAATATGTTTATATAAGAGTTTGCAATAAGCATATAAAAATGTCCAGGTAGAAGAGAGAATTAGATGATTACTAGAGGTAGAAGTTTGACTATTATTAAAACTATAAAAAAGAAGAAATTGTATATTAAATTAGTCAGTTCAAATGTAATTAATATAATTACTGCTAGTATTGTTAAATCAAGTAAAGTGTTTGTTGTTAAAGTAAGCTCCAATATTATATATTGTTATAAAATGATTATTTTATTTTATTTTTATTATTAGTTATTTTTAGTTATTATTTAATTATGATGTAATACTTAGTTACTGTACATTACTGTGTCAATTACTGTGTCAATTACTGTGCATTACTGTGCCAGTTACTATGCCAATTACTGTGCATTACTGTGCCAGTTACTGTGCCAATTACTGTGCATTACTGTGCCACTTAGTCGCTTAGTCGCTTAGTCACTTTATCGCTTAAATACTTAGTCACTTAGTTGCTTAGTTGCTTAAATACTTAGTCGCTTAGTTACTTAGTCACTTAGTCGCTTAATCGCTTTGTCACTTTGTCGCTTAAATCCAAAGATATATAAACCCTACTAAATTCCCCAAGTGACAATAGATACAGACCACTTCCCCTCTATCCTTAACTTAGTATTCCTCTTGTAAAAGGATTCCTTAAGTACAGAAGCCTAACAGATAGCCTCTTTATTCTTATTAATAAAAGTATATAACATTCTCTCTCTAGGGTAATTCCTACAGACAAGGCTTGTTATCTTTGTTTAAAGTATAAACTATCATCTCTTGTTTTACCGAACTGCATTAGAGAGAAGAGTATAGTTTCTTACAGACTAAGGAATTATACTTACCTCTTGGACACCACTATAAATCTATAAAGGATTCCTGTAGCCATGTCATTGTTATAGTACTACTGTTAAGAAGGCCACGGTACTATAACATTTGGTGCTTTCTGGTGGAAATATAATTAAATCCCTCTGCACCTCCCCTCTATCTCTCTTCTTTGGTAATTTCTGGACATCTGTCTCCAGTATGTAAGCCATATTTTTGAATTCTCTGGACATCTGTCTCTAGCATGTGAGGTGTATTTTTAAATTTTTTGGACATCTGTCTTCAGCATGTGAGCTGTATTTTTGTTAAAATCTTTGGACATCTGTCTCCAGCATGTGAGCCGTTTTCCTCTTCTTAGTAGACCTTAGACAATTGCTATATTAGCAACTCTCTTCTTAGCATATGGTACAAACTGCTAACGAGTTACATCGGGAATATATTCGTAACTATCAGCAAGCACATTTAGACTTAGGACATATAGCTTTAGATGTATTACAATTACGCTACCCAGACCTTTTTTGCACTGATTGCTATTACCCTCGTTGAACAAGTCCTCATACACCTTTTAGAAGATTTTGAACCTTTTACAACCTTTGCTACTCAGCTTTACTTTACTCTCGAAGGACTCAAGACACTTTTGCCATACTTACCAGTACTACCAATTATACTAATATTCATATAGCAATCTGGAATATTATTTTTAGCTGTTGCTATACAACTGCACTTCCCAACCCCCAAGACATAGCCTTTACACTTCTTCAACGACATACTCTTCTCCTCCAACTCCCTATCTTACCATTCCAATACCAAAATACCTTTGACTATTACCTTGACAAACTTCAAACCTTTAGTTTTGAAAAACCAGGAAACTTTAGTCAATTCTTTGGAAATTTAGAAAGCCCTATCTTGCAAGCTACCTCTACAGACAACAGTGTTCGCATAACTGCCTTACCAGAAGACACTCATCACTTCTACGAACCAGAAGATAACCTTTCCCCATATAGTGAAGAAGTTACTCACCAAACCCTACCAGAAACTAACAGTACTCTCTCTTGAATTATTCATTTTGACCAAGAAAATATTCTTGAACCTAGAAATTCTAGTGATGAAGAACCAGACTCAGATCACAAATTAAATATTGACCTAGCTGACCTTGTCTACACTGCCCCACCTTTTCCACCTCCTGTTTATCAACCTCTTGTTATACCCTTACCTCTACTACCACCTCTCAATCCTCCTAATCCTTCTGCCAATATGGGTGATCAAGCTTTACGAGATGCTGCTACTGCTATAACTGCACTGGCTACTGCTTTAGAAACTACTCCTGAACAAACATTAATCAAAGTAGAGCCCTTCCTTGGTGATGGAACCCAGGACCCACTTACCTGGCTCCAAGAATTTCAAAGAGCTTGTAAAGCAAATCGTTGAAATGATGCTCATTGATTAGAACTTGTACCAGTATACATGAGAGGTATTGCTCTAGACTGGTATTGCAGTCTGAATCCCCAGCCTAATGCTTACAACAATGATGCTGCTCAAGCCCGAAGTTTCAAGCATTTGTTTAAAGCTCGTTTTAGCATTGCTAAGCAAAAAGCAATTTGGCAAAAACAGTTATTTGATATCAAACAAGGAACAGACAGTGTTGATGCCTATGTAAGCAGATTTAGATCTCTGCGAAGAAAAGTAGATCCTGCTGATGCCTTCCCTGTTGCTTTTGTTATTCAACTTTTTATTCAAGGACTGCAACCAGAGTATGCTGTTAATGTGCAAGCATCAGAACCAGCAACCCTTGATGATGCTATCACTGCTGCTTGTCAATGGGAAACTGGAAGACTCATGGCTAATGCTACTACTACAGAAACAGACCAAGCAATCAAACAATTAACTAATCAGATTGCTCAACTTAGTATTAACCTTGCTCAGAAGACAACCCTCACTACTGTCAACTATGCTGATACTTTTAACCAAGCTCCTCCTATCTGACAACCTCCTACTTGTCATTACTGTGAACGTACCAGACATTTTATTGCCAAATGCAATGCACGAAGACAGGATCAACAGTCTCGAAGACCCAGACAATCAGAACAAACTTCTTGAAGTTCTTACTAAAACTATTCTCGTTGAAATTATCATAATCAATCTTGCTCTCGAAGTAGAGATAATTACAGAAACAGAAGTCAGTCACAAGACAGAAACCATTATAGATTCGACTGAGCCTCTTCTCAAGAACATAGTAGAGAAAGATCTTACAGACCTTCTAACCAATCACCTTCACTCTATTATCGCAATGTAAACTATACAGACCAGAACTCCAACTCCAACTCTATTAGTCAGAAAAAATGGAAAACCTTACTCGATAACCCTTCTATCCGAAGTGCTCTCTTTGTCCATCTTAGTCATGAAGCCAAGACCATCCTTCCTACCACTTCAGATCCAACTACTACACCTGTAAAATGTAATATTAGACTCAGTAATAGACCCTATCAGGCAATCATAGATA